AAAAAGTCCACTTATTATAATCCAATTTTTCACAGAGACTTGTTTAACTGTTCGACAGAGAAACAGAAGTAACGTAATGTACAGCAGCTAGAGTGACTTTTGTTAGCAGAAAATTGAAGATTAGTCAGAGAAAATACTAGATAGATGAATCAGTCAGATGCTCTTTTTTTTTCTTTTTGTCTGTAGATATTTTTCATGTTTGTTAGGATATGTAGTAAATCTAAAACTGTGATTAAACTTAAACCAGCATCATCATCACCACCATGACGATACTAAGCCTAACTTAGTCATTACAAAGTGACTCAAGCTCATGATGTTAACTACGACACAGAATGTAGGCTTTTCCAAGGTCGTTTGTCTCATTAACGACTTAATTACCGATGTGAGTAATAGAGTTAAGCGATATCGTTATAAACCAGATGGTCGAAAGCATTAAAAGATAACCCCCACCGCGTTCGATTGTGTGTGGGTGTTAAAATAACAAGCTTTAATAAACGCTTGTGTGATGTGTAGCAAGGTTCCTGAAATGTGATACGAAACGTGTTAAGAACCGATATCACAATCAACTTTTAAAATGTCTATTCTTAAAGACAAATATTAAACCAATGCCTTTTTTTGTTTGGTTTTTTCTCTCAGTATTTGAAAAATAACGAATTGGGGTCTTTAATATGCATAAAGCAACAAGTTTAGTTAAAATATTTAAAAATTCTCTGGAAGTTAAAAACAACATGTTCTTGCTTATTTCGGACCGAGCGTGGCTACTAAAGTTAGTCCACCATTAATACTAATCTAGGAATCCATGGTTTGCAGACCGTTGCCGCAAATATGCGCTCTTTACTTTAGGGCCATCGATACTTTATGTGATCAAATCCCATTATTCGACAAGAGTAGCCAGTTGGCGGTGAGTGTTGTTGACTAGATACCTTCCCCTTGTTCTATCAGTTCAAAATTAGACACAGCTAGCGCAGACAGTCCTGTGCGGCTTTGCGCAACTCTCCGCAACAAGCAAACCTTGATATTTATATCTTAACACGCGTACATAACTTAGCCAGAAAGGTTATGTGGAATGCATCTTTCTGGTTCGTCGTTGTTGTTATTTTACATAACTAACTTCTAACGAGCCGTGCATTTAAAATTGATATTATAAAATTTATGTCGTCTTTTCCAGTAAAAGTTTCGCAAATCTAGAATTCACCAACCATAACAAAGTTATAAAGATAATACCCTAAACATTTCAAAGAATGTTCTTCTCACAACATTGTTACCTTACTACCCTTACCATGTGTAATATATTATTACTGTATACTGATTATTACACTACAGAACCCATGGCCCACATTTACATCACCCCTCCGTATTTAACTGTGTAAAAAAAATTCATTAAATTGTAAAGGAGCAAACTAGTAATTTTGCACTTTTCCAGTTTAATGACCATTGCTGCTATAATGTACATTTCATTTCTTTAACCAAGTTACGAACTGTAATTAATAGGCCTAAAGTAAATCAATGCCAAATTTGGGATCCACTTTCGGGGAATCCCCCGTAAAAGTGTTTTCGCGAAATACCCGAGTTCCCTAATGGGTTGGATGAAAGTTTTCCTTTTTTTCAAACTTCGGACTCAAGACAAATCGTTTGGCACCACTTAGAAGTTGGCGAGTCCAGCAATTTAGGAAAAGAAGTTTTCTGGAAATTTCCGGATTCCTCCAGGGGTGAGGTAAGAATATTTACCTTTTTTGCAAACCTCGGCACCAAAACGATTCGTTTGGTAACATTTAGAAGTAGGTGCGACCAGCAGTTTAGGAGCTACGAGACACAAAGACACTGAATCTTATTATATTCATTAATAAAATAAGCTTTGGACTATTTCCACAATATACTTAGCTTTGAAACTTATTTCTTAGTCAGGCGAGAAAAAACGTCAAAACAAACGAACATCAGGTGGCGCGTTATTATCAATTAAATAATTCTTTTACTTTGTTTTTTATTTGTTTGTTTTATTGAATTTCAGGCAATGCTACTTGAGGGTTATTTGCGCTGGCTGTCCCTAGTTTTAAAGTGATAGACTAGAGAGAAGGCAGGTAGTCAACACCACCCACCGAGCATGTTCTGTAATAGGATTCAAACCCTCGATCCACAGCTAGCGAGTCATAACCACCAGTAGGATTAATTATAACTAAAACTAAAACTTAAAAATGTTAAAATATATATAAATCTAACCAGGTCAAATGAAGGAATTATTACAAGCAACGGAGACAGAAAGTTAAAAACCTAAGACAACATTTTTATTCCAAGGTTCACTGATGTCTATTGTACGATTCAATCCCTGTTTTGATCCAGAAGCAAGAAATGAACTGTTTTATAAGTTAGAGTTTAGCCCCAGCCAAATCACAGGCTTTCCTTCTTTAATTATGAAGTCTCTTCGCGGTAACTTCGCGAAAACGAACATGTGGTGGCCTACTTCAGTAGGGTCCTGAGTAGATCAGAGAGGAACTACTGTGTAACACGGAGGGAACTCCTTGTTATAGTAAAGAGTCTGACATATTTCCATCCTTACCTCTATGGTGCAAGGTTTACCATCCGGACAGATCATGCTGCATTACGCTGGTTAAGATCATTAAAGAACCCAGAGGAACAATTAGCACGTTGGATCGGAAAGATAGACCAGTATAATTATGATATTGAATACAGAGAAGGAAAATCTCATAGAAATGCCAACGGACTGAGCCAAAGACCCTGCAAAAATGACTGCAGACATTGCTGGAAAAGAGATATTGAGCTAACCAGGTGTCATCAAGCTGAAGTCAAAGTAACTGAAGGAGTTGATGATAGTGAAGTGGAACCAAGTATAAATATTAAAGCAGAGCAGGAGAAAGACCAAGATTGGAAGCCAATAATTGATTTTCTACAAGCAAGTGTTTTGCACCCTGCTTGGGAAAAGGTGTCTAGCTTAAGCCCTGTGACAAAGCACTATTGGGCACAATGGGACCAGTTAAAGCTTGAAAATGGTATTCTTGTCCGGAGATGGGAAACTACAGATATGAAAGTGACGACTCGGCAAACAGTTATACCGAGGAAGTTACGGGAAGTTATGCTGCGTCAATCCCATGATAATTTAACAGGAGGACATCTCGGAATTGAGAAAATATTAAGTCACCTACGCCAAAGATTTTACTGGATAGGTATGAGGCAAGATGTGGAAGAATGGTGCAAGACATGCAGTACATGTTGTGCTAAAAGGGGACCCAAGCATAAGGGACGCCCATCTTATGAAGAGTTGCCTGAGAATGTGTCAGAGTTTGTGAAAGTGTTATTCACCATCAAGTGCGTTCAAACTTGAAAACGTCTGCTGATTCGATGAAGTTATCTTATGATAAGAGATCTACTGAAGTCAGCTTTGTACCAGGAGACAAGGTATGGTTGTATAATCCCAGGAAGACCAAAGGAAAGTCTCCTAAGTTGTCTCCTCCATGGGAAGGCCCATATGACATAGTGGATCGTCTCTCAGACGTGACTTTCCGGATAAAATGTGCTCGGCGAGGTAAGCCAAAGGTGGTGCATGCCAACAGGCTTTGGCGCTTTCATGGTCCAGGATATTTCAGTTGGGTCGAAGTGAACAATGGAACAAATGACGCTGCTGAGGAAGCCACTGTCAAAGAAGAAACTCTACTCAGTTTTGAAAAGAGAAACGGTGAAGCTCTTGATGAAGTAACTACCACTGATGTGACTGTTAACGACGATAGGACATTTCCTGATGAAGCGCATATGAAGCAGAAGCCAACGAGACGGAGACCAGTACGGAAGAAGATACGTCCCGTAAAATTAAGATACTTTGTTGTAATAGTAATTTTGTGTTTGTAATTCTGTACATTTAATTAAGTTATTGTTGATTGGTTTAATGTCAGTGACTATTGTTCGGGACGAACAATACTAAGGAGGGGCAGTGTTGCGACAGCGGAGGTCACGTGACTAGTATCACGCCACGTCGTTCTCGAACGTTCACGTTCCTTCCTTAATTATCGAGAACCTACTAGATAAGTCGTAGTCTTGTATATATAAACCGGTAAGAACTGAACGTGAGGTAATGAGTAATTGAATGTATGCAGACAGAGAATATTGTTGGGCACTTGAGACGTTCATTGTGTGTTATAGCGTTGGTTATACCGCGACTGTTGAAATTAAGTGTATTGCAAAGCTGTATTCAGAAAGAAGAAACCAGTTTTATTTAAGAAAGGACTTGTATCGTTAGAGTTTCTTCGGAAATAATTTTTACGGAAAATTAACTAACGAACGGAGACGTAACACTATTTTGCGTTTTGAGGTTTTTATGAGCGTTTTTGCATTTTTATCACTGCCTTCGCCCCTTGTTGACATGAAGGTTTGTTGGGCCTGTGCGGAGACACAAGCAAAGTTGCAATTTCATATCTTGTTTTTTGCATGTTTTATGGACGTTTTTGCATTTTTACACTTGCATATAAGGGAAGCAGCTTTCCATGTTCTACGATAACCTTTCATTAATCGTGAATTTACATAACTTCTGTCCAGGAGACGGGTACTCCAGCTAGTAATAAATACAACTTTTAGGTCTGAGTTTAAGTATTGAAATTCGTTTTATATGCAAGAGAGAAAAGAATAAAAATTAATAATGGTTTTTTCGTAGCATGACGTGAGATAACTTCCGTCGTTGTACCAGTATTCAAGCTATTATTACAATACGACCAAGCAGAAATACAAAATATATATAATATGGATTAATCATAGCCTATCAATAAAGATGACATAAAATTTGAAAAATGTACGTTGTAAAATGTTACAGTATATGTATAACATTTTCATCAGATAAGTTTTGCCCCACAGCCCTGATTTCTTTGTTTTCTTTTAAATCTTGATCACTAGAGTACGCTGTAACACACAAGCAAAATATCCACACGAGGGGGCGTTTTTACGTATATCCTATCATTATCAGTATTCTACCGATGCTATATTATTAACAGATCGTTGTAATTATTAATTATTTGGACTGAAGTTAAATGATGTAAAAAGTTTTGTTACGTTATTAGTTTTTTTTTTATAAAACTAGGCTTGAAGAGAAATCACGAAGAGGTAATATCAGACTTCTTACACATATTTTTTAGTAATTGTACAGTAATCAATATAACTTGTAAAATGTAAGGATTTATTAATTTAGTTGTAATTTTAAAGAAACTTTATTATACTCTAGTACTATAACACTAACAGTAGAGTTATAACCCAGTCACTTTCGAAAGATTGACTTTTCTTCATCAGGTGTAAATATTTAATTGTACCTACATCATTTTGTAAGTTATATTTTTAACTAAGCAATGTTGTAAATTAGTGTGCTCTAAATTGTCTAACGTCTTATTTACAACAAGATTGCCAAGTTAGTGTAAGTTGTAACTTAGTTTTTCATACGGAGTTAGCTTAATTGTTATTAATAATAATTAGTTACACTGACAGTGGTTATATTTTTAATGTCGAAAAGTCAGGAGTTGGAGGTGTGAGTGGTATGATGTTACTAGGAATACTGTTAAGTTTGTGAAGTAAAGTTATGTAAATACAAAGTCTTAAAGCATAATACTAAATAGGCCTGTTTTTAGTAACACTATCTAGCTTCATTTAAATATATATTATTTATAATTATATTGTGTATTGTAAAGCTAATAATACTGCTAACAGAATAATTTACCTACTAATATAGTGTAGTAAGTACAAAATTTTAATAATACTAGCTTTACAGACTTTGTAAATCAAATTAACATATAATCTAAGGACAACAACTTTGAGCAAGGGGCTATTGGTCCACCCATGCTGCCCCATCCACTTAGTTTACAAATAAACAACAACAAAAAAAACAAACTTAAAACCTTCCCTTATCATTGAAATACTTATAAAGCCTTCCATTAAACCCCCTTGCAGTTTCAAAAGAAGTTTTTAGCTCATTTTTTGGAACTAGCCCAAATATTGGGCTTTAGCCAGTTGAGTAACAAATCAGATGAAAGCTTAACCAGAGTAAGTAATACAAATAAGCAACAACAACAACAAAAAAACAACTTAAAACCTTCCCTTATCATTGAAATACTTATAAAGCCTTCCATTAAGCCCCCTTGCAGTTTAAAAAAAATTTGTTTAGATCATTTTTTGGAACTAGCCCAAATATTGGGCTTTAGCCGATCGAGTAACAAATCAGTTGAAAACTTAACCAGAGACTAATCATAGCAAAAGTTTAGTTAATTTGGGGTATGTTATATTTTGCTTGAATAATTAGTATTTCAAGACTATTACTCTTAATGTGACATATAATAAATATTTTGAAATGTTCTGAAGGAAATTGATAATTTTATCATGGAGTAGTAAGCTGTGAGGGTTGCTTCAGTTTTTTCTTCTGTCACTGCTGTGATAACTGAACTGAAACAGAATGCATTACATAAAGGAACATGCGCTTTGATAAGAATTGCTTGTATTCTGCAATTTCTGGCAAGTACAATTATGAAAACTAATGGAAATAAACTGGTTAGTATGATAATTTAATGAAAAAACTGTTGTAAATTCATATATACATTAATAAAAAAAAAAAGAGATGCAAATGTGCATATTTGTAATTTGTGATCTATAACTTCTTAAAAAGCAGTTAGAATGAAGAAGTAGGTGAAAAATAATTTATAAATATAGTAATACAGCTACTTATGAATTGGCTAAGTAGTAGTAGTATTAGTTGCAAACACTGAAAGCTGGCTTGTTGATTGTCATATATCTGCTATAATGAAGTTGATATGTTGACATTAGAATGGTTCAAATGTTAATTTCATTGAATAATCATTTTAGAAGAAATTATCATTAGTTTAATAAATATATATGTAAGTAGTAAAATTATAAAATAAACAGTACAACAAGCCAGTGGGTCCTATGTTCATTTGGAAAGAATGCTTCGTGAGTGGCAAATGATATACTTATTTGAAATTGAAATAAAAATCTGAAACTTAGATTAAAACATTTATAACTCATTATTAAAGTAGAATATTAATATATGTATCAGAATACGATTACACAAACATAAAACACTTTTTGCATACTTGCTTTAATTTTCATTTAAATGTTTGAGACTAAGTGCAATGTGTACAAAAGATTTCATACAGATATAATTCAACATATTGAAATTAGAAAATACTGGCATTATTGCTTACAGATTTAAAACTGGACAGCTGTCTTACATGCATGCACTATAACTAAACTGACATGGTGACATGATTAGAATGGAGTTGACATTTTTGGAGTACTGAAGATCCATTATATCAGCCAAAACTACTAATAATGTATTGAACATAATAAAAAAAACCAGTGCTAATAAACATGTAAATAAACTGATAATTACTGGGTCTCCCATTATCAGTAGGAAATTATGGGTTTTTAAGTAAAAGAAAACCAAGCTGGAATTTGATTTGAACACAAAATTATATAAAATATCTATTTCTGAGCATACATTTATAAAAATATGCAACAGAAATCAAGTAATATATAAGGACTATGCTGGATTCAAAGTTTAGGGAGAAGTGATTTCTCCATATACTACAACACTGAGTGAAGTTTGGAAGGACAGGGAGAAGTGGGAGAGATGATGTAAAACAGTGCAATGACGACTCATCAATCATAGATCTATTTGAATTAATAAAATAAATTTAGATATAAATTAATCTTCAGTTGTGTTATATCTTTGTGTTACAACTAATTGAATCAATATTTACTTTTTTTTTTCAAAGCAGTCATTTCAAATAGCATGTAACAGGATAAATAAAACCATGGACTAGTGTCTATATAAAAGGACACAAAACAAGCACTACACCAAATCATACATTACCTCTGTAAAAAAATAATTTTTTATATTAATATGACATCAATACCAAATTAAGAAAGTAGCGATCATGCCAAACTTTTTTGCACATTACAATAATTTACTTACCAAATTTTAGTAACATAAAGTTAATCCTTTGATTTGAAAAAACTTTGTACATGTTTAAGATATATATCCCAGAAATTGTTTATGTACATGATGCATGTCAGACAATGTTTGCCATCTTGGAAGGAGTGTGATAACCATGGGTGAATGTGTTGTCAACCTTTTTAAGGTGACTAACAAAGCTGCACCATTTGCCCACAGAATCAAGACAGACAAAACAGCACTATTTGCCCTCACAATCTTGGATGTACCAAGAAATGAAGACTGAGTCAAGTTTTTATACACTTCCCTTTTACTAAATTTGAGTTTTTGTTGTCATCAGTATTTTTTTCTCATAGAACCTGGTTTTGGAAAATGACTCTGTAACCATAATTACAATGACATGTTTGATCTGATGATGAATTTTAGGGAAAGTATTTTATAGGTTTAATTTATGATTATCAAATTTTAAAGTACTCATCTCAGTTTTGTTAATTATCATTTGTTTTTTACACATACCTGCTTAATGTTTTATCATTCTTCTGTGATTGCTATTAGCTTGGCTGTTTTTTGATAATTTGCCTAACCTGTTGTTTAGTACAGTAGTTGTTTTTATTAATTGATTGTTTTCAAACATCAGTAATAACTTTTATAAGTAGTTATCCAAAGAAATGTTCACAAACGTGTACAGTTATAACATTATAACACACTATGGAGCTGTACCTTTCAATGTTTTATACAGATTAGGCAATTGAGCAAGAAGAAATAATTAAACAGAATATAAAATACAAATTAGAAATTCAGATATTACATATAGCTTAAAAATCCTTTCTGTATTGGATTTGATACATGATCAGCATTACAGAGTTATTAAAACTCGATACTTCCTAACAAACATCGGCTTGATTCAAATAAAACTATCAACATCAAAAATGACTGAAAATTAAACTTGTGTAGGACTCGTACATTGTTATAAGTTTACAGTGTAAGTTTTATTTGCTTTCCTGTGATAATAGGACAAAGTTTTGGCTGTGAAGGTTAAGAAGTCACCTCCTAGTGTTGTCTCACACTATATCAGTAATGATAATATGTTAGCAGAAATTACAGTAATAACTTCAGATGCTTTGCATGCTTAAAAATAAGTCACAGAAGGTCATTTATCCTACAAAAGTCACTTCTCCACCTGTAAATTTGCTATAAATAATCCATAAACTGCTAAGCTCCTACAATTTGAAAACCTGAATCAGTTCTTCTCAAATTACTCTATGCCGTGGCTGCAGCAGTGTTATGCACATGCATACAATGTGCACTGATGAATTTGTCTGGTAGACAAAGGTTCCTCTCAGAAACAAGATGTTATTTTTTATTAATTATACATGTATGAATTTGAATCAATTACAGACCTTAGCAAATACTGATGTCTACAAAAAAATTGGGATAATAATCTTAAAGTTTGTACAAAATGTATTTGATGTTAATACTCTATAGCTACTTGTGAAAAAAAAATTTTGAGATTTTTCTTGTTATATTCCTCCATTATATTTTGGGGAAAAGAAATAAGGCTGGATGGACATTTTATTTTATATTGGTTTCATATATTCAAAAACCTTAATTAAAACAAAACTTGTTTTATTTGATTTGAAGTGAGCTATATGCTTCACTTTAGAGCTTGGCAATTAACTCTGTTAATTGATATAATCATTTACCTATGAGCATCAATTATATGAATGTCATGTGAAATAATCATTTACTCAAAATTACGATAAATCAATTAATGTCCGAAATTAATCAATTAATTAAAATTAGTGTTTTCAGTTATTATTGCTTTTGATGATTCATACTATACAAGTCTTGTAAGCATAATCATTTAACAAGCCCAACAATTACCGTATTTGATGGCATATAGGACGCATGGGTATATAAGACGCATCCCCATTTCAACAGGTCAGATTCAGGAAAAAAAAGTTTTTAGTGTATTTAAGCATATATTGGTGAAAGTAATCTAGCAGCACATTACACAAGCAGAAAACACTTGAACATAAACTAAAACACAGTAAGAAAATGGGGATACACTTTAATCATCTTCATAACCAGAAAATTCTTCATCTTCAAAACCAGAAAAATCTTCATCTTCGTCACTACTGCTGGAATCACTGACTTCAAATAACACGTTATCTTCTGTGCCATCAAGAGCATTGCTAATGCCACACTTCTTAAAAGACTTCACAATGATTTTAGGCTTAACGTCATCCCAAG